AGGAGGAGGAGGAGGAGGAGGAGGAGAGAGAGAGAGAGAGAGGGAGAGTGTGAGGGGGGGTGGTGGAGGGGGGAGGAGGAGGAGGAGTAAAAGAGGGAAGGGGGAAGGAAGAGACCAGCAGGACACGAGGAGAGCAGTAGGAGACGAGGAGGATGAGTTTCGAGGAGAGGAGGGATGGAAGAGGACAAGGAAGAGATGAAGGAGGAGGGTAAGGAGGAAGACCTTCAGTCTTGGATGCATCGCTCGCAGCCCTTGTCAGGTCGTTCTTGGACTGCAGCTTCACCATCCACTTCATCGCCGTCTGCGTCAGCGCATGCTCCTCTCCGAGGTGCTTGCAGCGGATATCGAGGGCCGTCTGGAAGTGCCGCTTGCTCTCTGCTGCGTCCCCAGCTGCCAGCAGTGCTGCTCCGAGATTGATCTGTTTGCGCTTCAGTCTAACTCCACCTCCTCCACTCCTCCTCCACACTTAGACATCCCAACAATCTTCTTTTGTTTCTTCCTCTCAGCACTCCTACTCTATCCCCCTCCTCTCCAAACTCAGAAGCTCATTTCTTCTTCTCCCATATCCGAGAAATCTTCTTCTCCTCCCTCTCCTTCCCTTCCTGCTTCATTTTCTCACTCCCTCCTTTCCCCCCTACTTCCCTCCCTCCTCTCTCCCTCAACGTTCAACCTCCTCTTCTTACCTCCAGCGTCGCTGCCTCTACCGTGTTCACCCCGTGCACTTGCTCGTGTAGCATCAGAGCCTTCAACACCATCAGACGCGCCTCCTCTTCTTCCTCCACTTCCTCACCCTCCGATACATCTGCACCGCCCGCGGCAAGTCCCCTGCCTTCTTGGTCGCCGCCTAGCCCACGAGCAGGTCAGCTGAAGTTTCTCCCTCTGCTGGGGAAGACAGACCGCAAAGTTGCTGTAGAGACCCTTGAGCTCTTCTACCAGCTGACTTGTTTCTCGCTGTCGGATCTCTGCCTCTTTCAGCAGTTCGATCTGCAGAGTGAGCTGCGATCAGTCGAGGACAAGCCCAGGCGTGTCAGGGCTGAGGGAGGGAGGGAGGGGGGGAGGGGTGGACGGATGGATAAAACGAGGGAGGGAGGGGAGGGAAGGGAAGGGAGGGGAGGGAGGGAGGGAGAGAGGGGGCGGTGGTGGTGGTGTTGAAAGATGATGATGATGAAAGATGATGATGATGAAAACGAAGAAGAAGCAGATGATGATGATGATGATGATGATGATGATGAAAAGGGGCTAGAAAAGGACAGGTTGGGGAAAGGGACCTTGTGATCATGTTGCAGCTGAGCTTCCTTGGCTTCACTCATCCTGCATTGACATCAGTTGCGCGCTGCTGGACTCATCTCGCCATCACTGTTTGAGTTCTTCAAGCTCCTTCTTCATCTCCTCCTCCTGTCCGGCTGGTCAGAATGGCAGACGAGCATCCGACCTGATCTTGACAGTCACCTTGCTCCGCACTTTCTGGAGAATGCCTTCTTGTAGGACGTTGAGACTGCAGGACAAGTGAGCAAACATGAGATCTCGAGACAGAGATGATTACTTGCGTCCTTGCAGCTCTGCAAGCTGTTGACAAACAAAGGAATGATCAATGACCATCGCCTAACAACAACAACAACAACAACAACAACAACAGCAGCAGCAGCAGCAGCAGCAGCAGCAGCAGCAGCAGCAGCAGCAGCAGCAGTAGCAGCAGCAGCAGCAGCAGCAGCAGCAATAACAACAACAAAACCACCACCACCACCACCAACAACAACAACAACAACCTCAGTCCGTGCAGTCTTCAGCTCGTTCTCAGTAAATGTCAACCGCTCTTGAAGCTCCTCCGATGATTTCTGCGTCAGATAAACTCAAAATCTTACAGCAACACAACAATGGTAAAACATACTACATGGCATACTCAAGTACATCGAACTCGAAACAAACTTACTTGTAAAGCGGAATGAAGATCATGCTGCTTGCTAAGCTCATCCTGTACCCTCGCAAGCTCCTCCCTCATCCTCGCCTGCTCCTCCGCCAGCTTGTCGCGCTCGGCCTCTGCTGCCTGCACCTTCTCCTGCAGCTGCCGGTTCTCTTCCGGCGTAGCTGCTTCTTCTGTAGCTGCTGCTGCTGCTGCGGCTGCCGCCTCTGCTCCCTGCAGCTGGATCCTGAGCTCCGACATCTCTGCCGTGGAGCTGGCAAGCTCCTCCTGTACCCTCGCAAGCTCCGCCCGTACCCCCTCAAGCTCTGCCTTCGCCTTCGCTTCCTCCTCCTTCATCCTCGCCTGCTCCTCCGCCAGCTTGTCGCGCTCGGCC